TACTTTTGGCTTCTTTGAGTAATTAAGATGCCATGTTCTTCACTCAATTTTTCACTTTGAAGCTTTCAACTTCTCTTAGGAATTTTATCAAACACTTAGTATGAACTTCAACACTTATTCTTGAACAAGCTTGATTTGATTCTTCAAAACCCCAAAAAACAACCCAAAATCAAAGCAAACAAAGCTTCAATCACAACCTAAACAAGTCTCAATCTCTAATTTTCTCAAACTCCTAAACTCCACAAATTCTCTTTAACTTCCAAGCTTCAATCTTCAATTCTTGAGGTGGATACAAAGATCACAATATATTATTGAATGTAAACAACAATATTATGAGAATAATGCATTTGAAGATGTGAATATATGTGAGCAATATAGAGAGAGAAAGTGGGTTCATGCAATACTACCCAACAATATGCCAAATAGGTTCCTTTTATTTGAAATCCTGCTGCCAGGAACCGGTTGCCAAAGTGGGAATTGGTTCCCACTGGGTAGTAACTTCAACATGGTTTGAACCACTGTTGAACTAGTAGGTGAAGCAGGTACCGGTAGCAAGCCCCCAGAAACTTGAACCTCGAAGGTTTTAACTGAGAACCGGTAGGAGCCAAGAGGACCGGTAGGTAATGGATAGTATGGTTTCTTAACTTGAAGATTTTCAAAACTTTTTCTTTGACTTTGTGAAACACTCAATGATCAAAACAAACTCCTAAACAAAACTAATCTAAAAACAAAAAATCTTTTTCAAAATTTTCAGTTTTTTTCATTTTTTTTTTTTCATTTTCAAAATAAATAAAATAAACACAAATCATTGAGCAATTTAACCAAAGTTTTTCAAGTCCATACCTAAACCAATTTCCCAAAGAATTATAGAGATATCTATGAACAAAAATTCTTGACACCACAAAGTAGTCAGTCAATTTCAATTCTCAGGGAGTAATCACAACATGAATTTATACTAGAAAATATTAAAGAAACAGTTAGAAATCAATCTAGCAAGTTCAAGTGTATGTGTGCAATCCATCTCATCAATTTCTAATCAATTCAATAAATCATTGTCTAAACCATATTGATCGAAAAGTATCAAGATAAGATTGTCTTTGAGCAAATTTTCTAAGTTAGGTGACTTTCACTCTAAAGATCAGACAGCAATTCCCCAATTCAACTTGTCTCCATCGTTCTTTTTACTCATTTAGCTTTATTTCAAAGTCTCATGGGAGCTTTCGAACACATCTTAATAGGTAGCCTTTTCCTAAACAGAGAATTCAACATTTTTTTCTTTTTCTTTTTCAAGCTGAATTTTTCCATTTTGTTTTTAAAGCTCCTATTTTTTTTTTTAAACAATAATCTTTATAACTTTTATGATCAATATACCCTAGTCAACAAATTAAACATTTTCAATCAAATTTTTCAGATTTGGACTAGTGCACAAAAGGTTATGAACTTAAGAGATTTAAATCTAAACATCCCTTAATCAATGCAAATGAACCTTCATTATATAGATTACAAGCAAAGAATCTATTTTTAATAAAAAATCATGTGTCCAAATATGCATTCAAAGATAGATCATAAATTCAATGAAATAATTTTCACAAATATATCATGAAGACTATGATCAGAAACTCAAACCTAAACCAAACCCTAACAAGTGATCCAATGGTAACAACATTTTCTTTTAAAAACAAACCATGATCACTAAAATTCATAGGACTCAATTTGAAGGTGAAGTCCTTTTGGAAACTAGTTCCACGGACTCAACAGGCATATAATTAATCAAATCAGACTTTTTGATCCAAACAGTTCTCACTCTCAATGCTTGAAATCCTTTAAAAATCTTTACTTCTTTCTTAGGCAAAATATCAGCTTTAGAAAATTTAGGTGTCAAATTCTTTTTCTTCCTAGAACGCCCCTTTTTTTTAGCATAAGAATTTTGAGAATGAATTTTAGAAAAGTCTTTTTTTTTTTTTTTCCTGTGAATACATGAGTTATACTTATGTCCATTCTTTCTACAAAAAGTGCAATGCAACAATTTAGGCACATAAGACGTATTAGAATGTGATGCATCAGACAAACATGGTTTAGGCATAACAGCAGGTTTAACAAAATTTGTTTTACCTTGATTACCAGACGAGCCTTTAACAAACCTTAACCCTGTTTTATCATTCACATCCTTACCCATGTTAATTATCTTATTCAAACTGTTGTGACTCAAATTGAATCCTTTCAATTTATCCTGTTCAGATTTCAGTTCAATTTCAAGAAAATTATTTTTCAAAGTAGGACATTCCTTCAATGAGTTAGCAACACTTACCTTATCCTCTAGAATGATGATCTGTTTTTCAAGCTCAGTGATGACAGAATCGCTTTCAAAAGCTTTCCTTTTTCCTTCATCAATCTGTTTCTTTAGATCTTCATTATCTCCTTTTGCTTGGATAAGCTCCTTTACTAGCTTATTGATTGCCTGTTTGACTTCAATGGGTTCTTTAACCATCTTCTTCAATCTTTCATCGTCCTTTTCAGCCTCTTGTACCTATTCATCATAAACGACATTGGCTTTGTTGTCTGAAATATCATAATCAGATAAAGACACGATATGATGACCTCTATCAAGAAAAGTGACATAAGAAAAATCATTAGAATTATCCTGAGGAGAATCACTATCACTTAAAGTAGGATTTTCAGACATAAAAACTTCCATTGCTTTCCCTTTATTCCTATCCTTTTGTTCTTTCTTAGGACTAGGATAAACAGTGGATGTATGGCATTTGCCACCACAATTCCAGCATGTGAATTCAGTTTCTTTGGATTCTTCTACGTTCTTTTCATTAAACCAAAACTTTGATGTTTTGTCAAATTTTTAAGGATTAGCCATGTTGCCATTCCTTCTCCTCTGTTGTCTCTGCAAAATCTGACTGAATTGTCTTAACAAGAATGCAAGATCATCATCAGAGTTGTCATCCACATAATTCTTAACCTGTGTAGATTTCAACGCAAGATTTTTCTCCTTCTGTCCTAAATCAAAATTCTGCATCTCAAAAGTTTTTAATGAACCTACCATCTCATCAACCTAACAAATAGCCAAATCCCAATGTTCAGAGATGGTTTCAACCCTAATCTGAAATTTTTTAGGTAAAGACCTTAAGATTTTCTCACATATTTTTTTATCACTAACTTTTTTCCCTAAGTGACGCAGTTCAGAAATTATTTCAAGAAGACTAGAATAAAAGTCAGAAAATGATTCATCTTCTTTCATCACAATGTTGCCAAATTTATGATAGAGCAACTAGATTTTGGACAACTTCACTTTTGAAGTTCCTTCATGGGTAACCTGCAAAATATCCCAAGCTTCTTTAGCAGTTTTACAATAAGAAATTCTAGCATATTCAGATGGAACAACAGAATTAATAATTGAATATAAAGCTTTGCCATTAGCATCATTACGCTCAGTTTCAATAGTAGTAAAAGCAAAAGTATCTTTTAACTCTTTGACTATTTTACCATCCACAGTTGTATCTATTGTATGAGGTGTATAGCCAATTTCAACTATAGCCTAAGTTTTACCACCAAAATTTTGCAAATAGGCTCTCATCTTTGATTTCCAAAAATTGTAATTATCTCCTTCAAATAAAGGACCACGTTGATTAGAACCATCTTCTTTCAACACATAAGACATGATGTCAAAAACAATTTTTAAAAACAAACAACAAAACTAAACTTTCCAACAAGGATCAACTCAATGTATAGAGATTTGCTCTGATACCAAATTGTGAGTCGTATGTAGCGGAAATTACTTAGAAAGTTTTTGTTTGTTTTATAAAAATAGATCTGTGTCCATAACTTTGCTTATTTTATGTTTTAACAAGTAAATAGTTAATCACATGTAGATAAACTAATGCATAGTATAAAGTTAGAGATGACACTAGGATTTTAGCAAGGAAACCCCAGTTTGTAAAATATGTCAACTGTTATAGGAAAAACCTCGTGGATTGTGTAGTCCAAAGTAAACCAATCCACTATGCTTGAAACAAAGTATGCTGAACTTTAACTCTGGCTCACACCCTATCGCTCTGTACCACACCAATCGTTGACGATCCTCTAGCTTTGCGACTCCTCGTCCAACAACAACTTGTTCTCAGACTAACACTTGATATTCGTAGAAGAGTAGCAGGTAGATCAGACAATACTCCATGAATGCTCCAACCCTTTCAAAAGTGTGATTGCGTTTACTCTGTTCTTCAATCGTCTGAATGATATAGAAGAAGATCAGCTTCGTCTGATTGATGTTGATACAACTGTATGATCACGATCAGGATTCGAACTCCCCAACTCTAACCTAACTAGCTGAATATGTGTATGTTCTAGGAAGACTATAGAAAAATCAACTTTGATTTTCTGAGAGGGATTAACTTCCTAAGGCTTTAAAAATATTGAATCGGCTGTATAACAAAAGTCGTGAAATAAACCTTGTGTATAACATGGTTTATATAGAGGTTTACAAAGTCATATTCCTTCATAAAATAAAGGAAATCTCATGCATAGGACTTTAGAAGGAAAGTGGAATCAAAAAGGAAACAATCAGAACAGGAAACTGAAAGTTCGAATGCTGTCAGGACTCTTGCTACCGATTCCCAAATTGGCTACCGGTTCAAGAGCTACCGGTTCCCAAATTGGCTACCGGTTCAAGAAGGTCAGAAGATTTCCGACGTACTTTGCTACTGGTTCCCATTTCTCCAACCGGTTCCCACTAGACAGAATCCAATTGAAACTTGGATTTTCGGTATTTTGGTAACTCTGAACATATACTATATAGGTAATTGTGTCCTAAGTGGGAAACGATGTCCTAATGTGTTGTTCTTTCCTTTTCGATGATCAACAGTACTTTCCTCTTCTGTTCAACCTCTGAATTCCGCAGTCGATGTCAAGTCTGATTTGGTAACTGAAATTATACAACTCGACTAGGACTCATTTTGTAATCAAAATATGCCAATTGACAAAAATATATCTCATAAAATCTCCATGAAATCCCTAAACAACTCCCTTAACTTCTTCTCGCCTTCTCGTTCACTGTACTTCTTTCCCAATACTATGCAACACAATACATCATTTATCAGTGAGATTAACATTTCAGTTAAATTTACTGAAGGAAAAGAAGACTGTTCGATCTTCTCCAACAAAAGACTTGTTTCTTCTTCTCTCACTCTACGGAAAGACCGAACCCTTTTGTTATTCAGAAGTTGGAATACACAAATGCTTCTTAGTTGCCTACAATACTCTCCATAAGAACCGAATGCGATGTCCTTGTCACAGAAAAGTTTCATGGGAATGCTTGATTTAGGTCTGGTTGCGAAGTTGACATCTGCATCAGCAGAGGAGACTATGAGAGCGGGCTTGCTGCCGAGGTGAAGCAGCATGAGTGATCCATATTGTTGAGCTAATGTTTGGAGGGAGCGGTGAGAGAGCAATCCAAGTTGGTGGAGATTTCCAATAATTGGGAGCTTTGAGGAAAAGGTGGCGGATTTGTTAGGGTTTTTAAATTGGACAACAATTTCAAAAGAAGGCCTAAAGAGAAGAACAAAAGAAGAAGAGAGTAAAATAAAGAGTCAAATGAGAACAACATTTTTTGTTGCCCTGGTAAAGAGAAGAACAAAAGAAGAAGAACGAAACACCTTAATTTCGGGTGAATATAGCTTTTACTACTAGTGCATTATACATATGGGCATCTCCTCAGGGCACAGGGCAGCCTATGTGTATCTTCCATGGAATGCAACGTGTAATATATGTTAAATCTAGCAAACATTTTTTAACCTGTTTACCATTGATTTATTGCTATTAAATACTACCCTCACACAGTACTCTACACTTCAATTTATGACCTAAGCACAATTTTTCTTTTCTTTTGATTCATATTTTCTTGAAGAGGAATGCATGTTAAACTTCATGTCATATAGTATCATGACGATATGACATGTGAGTTGACAGCAAAGGGTAATTTAAGAGCAAAGTTTTAGGAGAGAAAATAGGAGAATGAAGAGATCGAAACCCCTCACCAAAGGAGAGAAATGACACGAGCTTGTATATTGTCATTGATAAATATATATATACTTTTAATTGATAAACACAACCTGATAAATATATAAATAAACTTTTGGTTGATGAGCAACTTTGATAATACGATTGTAAATATGATATTTAAATTTGCATTAATTATGTTAGAGTATAATGAGATTATGTTGATGTGTAAGTGTATATATGTATATGCGTTTGTGTGTAAGTAAAGATCAGGTTGTGTTAATGTCATGCAATCACGATCTTCATGGGGATTTTGATTAGTAGGACGAATGCTTTATTGCAGAATCTTCATGGAATTCAATTAGGGTTCTTGTGTATAGGAAGTGTACATGAAACAGGGCATCCAACCACCATTAGATGTTTGATCTGTTATACAATATAAGTGCAAAGGTTTTCTCTTTGATCATTTGATAGTTTGAGAGAGAGTTGAGAGGGAGAGGTAAGCTGGCTGATTTAAGAAAAATAAAAAATAAAAAAATAAATATGAATGTAAGCTAGATGATTTAGAAAGAAAAAAAAAATATGCAAAAAAAAAAAGGGCCAGATGGAACAAAAATGTTATTGTAATGCTATTCATGATGGACGTATTGTTGCTCTTTCCCGAATGCATCATATAACACGGTTTTCATACATATTTTCATTTTATTTGTGGACCCCAAATGTCTCTTTTATATATAAATACATAATGTTAAGTTATTAGTATTAGATCCTCAACAATCGAATCGTGAGTGACCACGATTACTCATATTGCAGCAATTATATACCTACACACTAAAAACAAAATACTCCATATCATATTAAATACATAATGTTAAGTTATTAGTATTGGATCCTCAATAATCGAATTTTGAATGATAACGATTACTTACATTGCAGCAATTATATACGTACACACTAGAAACAAAATACTCCGCATTAGAATGTTGAAAAGGAAAGATTCGGTAGTAATACTACCAAATATTATTAGCTGTAATAATGATATTTGGAGGATATTTGTTGTAAATAGAATATTGGTCAAATACTGTAAATTTGAAAATTATTAATTAGGCCAGCTAGTTATGTATGTGTATTCTCTCTTATAAAGAGAACCCGTGTAAACTTGTGAATACTGTGCTAATACAGAGAAAAAGTTTATTCTATATTTTTTCCTTTCAAGTTTATATGATATCAGAGCCACCCTAGGGAAAAAAAAAAAAAAACCCTAATTTTCTTTTCTACACAATTTCTTCGCTGATCAATTATGTCTGACGTTTCCTCCATGTCAACCTCGCCTATCACAACCCAGTCAACTAATACGACAACCCAAGCCCCCAGTACTAATTCTCACTCGGTTCACATCACTAATATTCGCCTTAATGGTGACAATTATTTACGGTGGTCCCAGTTCGTTCGGATATACATCAGAGGGCGGGAAAAGATCGGGTACTTGACGGGAGACAAGAAGGCACCAGCATCGGAGGACCAAACGTACGTGACCTGGGATACAGAAAATTCAACGGTGATGAATTAGCTTGTGAACTCCATGGACGAGGATATTAGCTCCAACTATATGTGCTATTCCACGGCCAATGAGCTCTGGGACGACATGAATCAGATGTACTCTGATTTGGAAAATCAATATCAGATCTACGAATTGACTCTAAAACTTGGTGAGATTCGGCAGGGAGAAGACTCGATCACCAAGTATTTCAATTCATTGAAGCGTTTTTGGCAAGACAAGGATCTGTTCAAAGATTATGAATGGAAATCCACTGAAGATGCCAATCACTACAAATGGACCGTGGAGGCTCATCGCATTTACAAATTCCTTGCTGGGCTCAACATGGAATTTGATGAAGTACAAGGACAAATCATTGGCAGGACTCCACTTCCTCCAATTGGTGAAGTGTTTGCTGAGGTTCGAAGAGAAGAGAGCCGCAGATATGTAATGTTGGGGAAAAAAACTACCAGCAGACCTGTTGAGAGTTCTGCCCTTATTATTGCAGAGACTGCTGCTAATAAAACAATTGATTTTCAGCAAAAAATTGAAGAAAAGCCACGGGTCTGGTGCGACTTCTGCAACAAACCGCGCCATACTCGGGAGAATTACTGGAAAATCCATGGATAACCAGCGAATTGGAAGAGTAGCAAGCCTGGTGACAGAAATAGGCGTGCAGTTCCTACTGCTAATGAAGTTGAGACAAGTCCCTTAAGTAGGGAGCAGATGGATCACCTTCTAAAGCTGTTGAAATTTAATTCCTCATCTAGTATTCCTAGTGTTTCTCTTGCACAAAATGGTAGTGCATTTAATGCCCTTTCTTTTTGTTTAAATTATACTCCATGGATCATCAATTCTGGAGCCTCTGATCATATGACCAGCCTTTCCAATCTTTTTAGCACTTACTCATAATGTTCTGACCTTGAAAAAATTAGAATTATAGATGATAGTTTCTCACCTATTGCAGGAAAATGTTTAATAAAATTATCCGAGAATATAGATCTTAAATCTGTTCTCCATGTCCCTAAACTAGCCTATAACCTTTTATCTGTGAGTAAACTAACCAAAGAATCTAATTGTCGTGTAATTTTCTATGATTCTTACTTTGAATTTCAGGACCGGAGCTCGGGGAAGAAGATTAGCAGTGATAAGATAATAGATGGACTTTAGTACATTGATGGGGACTTCTCCAGTAATAAAAAGGCTCAGGGCCTTAGTAGTGTTAGTTCTAACTATATTTACGAACAAATAATGTTTTGGCATTTAAGACTAGGACATCCTAGCTTTCCATATCTTAAACATTTGTTTCTAGCTTTATTTAAATGTTTGGATCGTTCATCATTCTATTGTGAGAGTTGTTGCTTATCTAAGAGTCATCGTATTACTTATTTGCCAAAACCTTATACTTCTTCAAAACCATTTTATTTAATACATAGTGATGTTTGGGGACCTTCAAGAGTCACTACTATCTCTGGGAAAAAATGGTTTGTTACTTTTATAGATGATCATACCCATTTATGTTGGGTTTATTTGATGAATGAAAGTCTGAGTTTGAAAAGATTGTTAAGAATTTTTACACAATGGTTGAAACTCAGTTTCAAGCAAAAATTAGCATTTTTCACACCGATAATGGAACCGAGTATTTTAATTAAATTTTGGGGAGTTTTTTTTAAAGAAAAGGGTATCCATCATCAGTCTAAATACCCCTCAACAAAATGGAATTGCTGAAAGAAAAAATAAACACTTACTTGAAGTGGCTCGTGCTATAATGTTTTCAATAAATGTTCCAAAATATCTTTAGGGGGAAGCTGTTTTAACAGCTTCGTATTTGATTAATAGAATGCCTTCACGTGTTTTAAAATATAGCATGCCATTAGAATGTTTCAAAAGAATTTTTCCATTATTAAGGATAATTGGATTTACCTATAAAGGTTTTTGGCTGCATAGCTTTTGTTCATATACCCAATAATACTCGGTCCAAACTTGATCCTCGAGCTGAAAAATGTGTTTTCATAGGGTATGCTTTTAATCAAAAGGGATAAAAGTGCTATAATCTCCAAACAAGAAAATTTTATGTGAGTATGGATGTCTCTTTCTTTGAAAATAAATCATACTTTCCCAAAAATTCTCTTCAGGGGGAGAATGAGGTGATGGAAGAAATTTTTTGGAATTTATATCCTACTCTTTTACCAAATGTGATTTTGACTCCTTTACCTCATCCTACTGTTATTCCTGAAATTCAAAGTTAGGAACAATGTGAAAAAACTAATGAAAACAATGAAGGGAATCCTAGTCATATAGTGCCAAACATTACTGTATCTGAAACAGGGGAAGAATCACTATAACCAGGCACTAAAGTTCTCGATACTGTACCTCTGGTTTATACTCGGAGAATACCTCATCAAAAGAGTCAAAGTTAGCCTATTCCTTTTGGAAATTATCAATCTCAACCTTCAGGAACTGGACCTCTAGATATCACCGGTAATTATGTTCCTAACTCATCTTCAGTTCCTATTGTTTCTCCTAACCAAGAACTATCAGACCTTGATATTCCTATAGCTATTAGGAAAGGTATTCGAATCAAATATCCAAATCCAAAATATCCCATTGCCAAATACCTTTCTTGTGAAAAACTTTCTCATACTCGTAGGGCTTTTACCTCAAAAATCTCACACTTGTTTGTCCTGAGAAACATTCAGGAAGCTCTTGATGATCTGAATTGGAAGTTAGCAGTGATAGAAGAGATGAATGCTCTTAGAAGAAGTGGTACTTGGGAGATAGCTGATTTACCTAAGGAGAAAAGAATAGTAGGCTGTAAGTGGGTTTTTACTGTGAATTGTAAAGCTGATGGTAGCATAGAGAGGTACAAGGCAAGACAAGTCGCAAAAGGGTTCACCCAGACCTATGGAATTGATTATCAGGAAACTTTTGCTCTTGTAGCCAAGATAAACTCAATCAGAATTTTGTTATCTTTGGCTATGAATTTCAGCTGGCCATTGCACCAGTTAGATGTAAAAAATACCTTTTTAAATGGAGATCTTGAGGAGGAGGTCTTTATGAATCGATCACCTGGGTTTGAGTGAAAATTGGGACCTAATAAAGTCTGTAGACTGAAAAAATCTTTATATGGTCTCAAACAGTCCCCTAGAGCTTAGTTTGAGCGATTTAGGAGAGCTGTAAAGAATTATGGCTACTGTCAGAGCCAAGCTGACCATACCATGTTCTACAAACATAGTAAAGAAAACAAGGTTGCATTGTTAATTTTCTATG